TATTTTTTTTAATCTAATATTCTGTACTCGAGCACCTTCTACCTCATCCTGCAGATAAGACTCTACAAAGATTCGTCTTGGAAGCTTAGGTAACAGGTGTTGTGTGTGTGGTGATTCATTAAGCTGCATAAAAAAACGCATCGCACAATAAGCACTATGAGTCATCTGTCCTCATCAGTTTTACCCGCTTTTGTTTTCCACTCAAAATCTGGTATGTCATGTTACCATTCCAGACGTGATCTCGATGGTCGGTTGGTTGGGATTAATATCTATCGACATGTTACCATTCCAGACGTGATCTGGATGGTCGGTTGGTTGGGATTAATATCTATCGACTACGCGAGGGGGCTGCACGTAATCTGTTCGCCATCAGACAAGACTACGTTAATCATCAGAACAGAGATTAGGGTAAACTCTCAGCATATATACTCAGCATATATACACCAGATTATATTCACCGAGATGCTCACATCACGGTGAATATAATCAGGTGAATTATATGTAAACTGCCATAAACACCATTTCCAACATTTTTAGTGCACATGCTTTCATTAACACGTCGTGTATCTAATTTAGTGTCTATAAAGTAATTACATTGTGTAATTACTTAATATAATTGCGTTACGTAATTACATAAATAACCATTATCTAGATTCCAATTATTCTCCATTAATGATGTGATTGTAAATATGACCTAAAATTATATGAGAAATGCATATATATATATATATATATATATATATATATATATATATATATATATATATATATATATATATATATATATATATATATATATATGTATATATATATATTGTATATATATATATGTATATACATATATGTGTATATATATATATATATATACATTATATATATATATATATATTTATATATATATACATTATATATATATATAATATATATATATATATTATATTATATATATATATAATATATATATATTATATATTATATATATATAATAGTGATAATATATATATATATTATATAATATATATATATATATATATATATATATATATTTTATATATATATATATATATATATATATTATATTATATATTATATATATATATATATATATATGTATGTATATACATATATATATAATATGTATATCATATATATATATATTATATATATTATAATATATATATATATATATATTATATATATATATTTATATATTATTTATATATATTATATATATATATTTATATATTTATATATATATATTATTATATATATATATATATATATTATAATATATTTATATATATATATATATATATATAATTATTTATATTAAATATATATATATTATATTATTATTATATATATATATATATTTATTTATATATATTTTATATATATATATTATATTATATATAAAATAAATTATATATATATATATATTTATTAATATATATATAAATATTATATATATATATATTATTTATATAATATATATATATATAATATATTATATATATATTATTTTATATATATATATTTATATATATATTTATTATTTTATATATTATTATATTATATATATATATATATATATATATATAATGTATATTATATAATATCTTGCCAAATAGGTAAAATTGGTCAATTAGCAAGAACTCGTTTAAAATTAAGTCCTTTATAAAATTTTCTTTTATACTTTTAAAGATATATTTTTTCATTTATGTTAATGTTAAAATTAATTATTTTCTACCAAAAGAACCTTAGAAAACTTACCTAACCTTATTATAACAGCGCAGCTTAATTTATAAATAAACAAACACAACGAAATAAATTTTTTTCATTAGGTTCAGAATGATTTTTGGGAAATTATTGCATACACAAATTTTCGCTTGCCTTATTTGGCAAGAAGAGCGTTGCTGTTTAAGGCAAAATCACAAGTTTTACCTATTCGGCACGACACATACACACACACAACACACACACACACACACACACACACACACACACACACACATATATATATATATATATACCTACATATTGCATGCAATGTGTATCACTTATGACTTGAGCTTAATAAATCGAACAGTTTGTTGTAGAAATAAATTTCTCTTTGCAAACGTCTTTTGTTTCCTGTTTGTGGTGTTGCTTGATGGGATCCATTGCAAGTCGAGGAGCTGCGGTCGTCTTGGTGTCGTGAGAAATAGTCAGGCCGAGGCCTACTGGGCCTCTCTTACCCCTGGCTCCATCTCCGCCCCTCTTACTCATAAGAGGTTTCCTAAGTGCGTTTTCCCATTTATCACAACATTCCCCTTCCCCTCAGCAGCCACATCCCATCACCTGGCCCGTCCCAGTCCCACTCGCTTCTCCCTACCCCTCTCCTTTCCCCTTTCCTATTACATCGTATTTCATCGTCCCATTACACGATACTTCCCCAATCTCACCATGCCTCACTCTCCCCCTTCTCTACATTAAATGTCCAAACCCCCGACCCTCCATCACACTAACTCTACCCCGTTCGCAATATCTTCTCTCGATTTCCCCCCTTGCAGTCGCCCCAGGGTACCTCCTCTTACCCCCACACTACTGCACCGCCGCAGTGTAAATACTGGGCTGCACTTCTGGCTTCCTCGGCACGCAGAAAATTTGTGTGTGTTATTAAACGTTTGATGACTGGCCTTATTCTAATCCTTTTGGTCTCTCCAGGGTAAACTGTTTCATAATCTATCCTCTTGTGTTTTCTTCCACTAAATACGCTCTGATCTTACTGTAATTCTGTTTATCCTTTGTCAACCGGGAAAAATTATTCAGCCTTTTCTGGCTTTCTTAATTTTACTTCTTCCCATTCGTTTCTTCAATATTTCTCCGATATTCTTTTACTCTCTTTTAGAAAATGGTAGCTGACCCCCTCTTCACAAAATATGTGCTGACTTACTCATGAAATACATACCCAGCAAGACTGCCTCTGTGTATAACATCCTACTAGCATTAAGGACAACACGCCTGCATTTTACTGCAGGAAGTCACCGTGTCTTCGAGGACCCTGTCTGGCTACACGGAGTGTCTGAGACGTTGCCACAGACGGTTGTCTGTATATACCTAGATGTGTACATCTATCACTGTATATATGCAGATAATTTACTTTAGCCCCTTAATTTGAAGTCAAGGTATTGTATTATCTAATTTACCGGGCACTAATGACTTCTAATAATCGAAGCACTTAATTAAGAAGAATAAAGAAGCCTCACTCTGTCTCAATCCCCTAACTACATACACAAACATAAGACAATATCTGGCAGCTACGTGCATTACCTCTTTGAGAGCTGGGGTGAGGGGAAGGAGTTGGAGGGTCATTAAAGATACCTCACGTTACGAAGGTCTGTAATCCCGATGGGACCAGTGAGGTTGTGAGTCGTAGCGGCATGTATCTACACACTTCTAGCTGCGGGTGTTGTGAGCTGAGATGTTATTGCAGGGTTTTAATAATGGGCGTCCCCGCAGTGTTCCCTGGGGGCTGTAGGTCTGAGGCTCCGAGTGCACCATCTACCTTCCCCACCTTTAAAAGTATTGGATAAAAATTTCCTGGCCGTGTTAACACCTAAATTCCTCTTCACGTTTTTCTTTCAATAGACGGTAAATCTTACTGGGCCGAGGAGAAACACCCTGAGTCGCGCATTATGACAGCTCTGTCATAACAAACTGAACATATGAAAAGTCTCAGTATCATCAGAACTTTATTACACTTTGAACTAGTTGTTAATGGGAATTAATTAAACTTTATGTTGTAAGTAACAGGGAAATATCTAATTCATGTAAATCAAAATTAGTCAAGAGAAGAAAAAATATATAACTAAAAAAAATTCTCTCATTTTATCAAGCTTGAATGTTGGTGTAAACTCAAGAAAAAAAATGTTTAACTGCACTTTAAGGAGAGAATATTTGTTTGTGTATTGTCGTCTTGATATTATGAAAATGCAAAGTAAAAACGAAATAGTAAAGCGAGGGGAAGGGAGGCCAAGGTAAGCAATGAATTACGCTATCTAAATACATGATGGGCCTTCATTGAAGCTGAAATTCACCACTGTTGTTCTAGGAAGCCCAACGCAGAGCTCATGGCAACGACTCTATTCCAATCACAAGCTAGAATTACCCCTGGCTCTGAAATTATAAGCTTGCTGTATGAACAAACCCCCTCGGCGCTACATGAATTTCACGTTCAATTTTGTCAGGGGATTGTGTGGCTGTATCATTAGTCGAGCGCCCTCAGCCGTCCCTACTCACACTTACTCTCCCCGATCCATTAAATCGCAGTGCACAGGGAACATTTAGAAGGGGGATGTGAATGGGCTGAAGGGAATGTTAATAAGATTAAATAAATGGATGACGGAAATTATCGATGTCCTGATTTAAGCACCTGTAAGACAGATCAACAGGGGGTTGGTGTACCGTCTGGATGTCAACGAGTTGGGAAAGCTCTGTTTATTCTAAGACACTTTAAAGTTTTCCCTGTTGTGATACTTTACAAGCAACAGGTAGCTATTACGCCTGGCACCAAGAAGCTGCTAGTTAGAATAACGTAGTGTGTACTCGCCATGCTATACTGTAGTCTTATTTCCGTTGTTCCTGAGGCAGTAACAAAAAATTTGTGTTGTGAATCTAATGTATCTGTGGAATACAAAACAGTATGGGTTTAGACTAAGCAAAGTGACTTATTACAAGGCAGACTTAAGGATAAACGAAGTGAACTATATATAATAAGCTTAAAGACACGCATAACAAACCGCTGTAAATACTCAATCTAAAAAAAAATGTAAATTATAACGCAGTACTTAGCACTTCCTGATTCAAAGAGTATGTAAGAAAAATTACGCGACACTTACACATAAAAATCTTAATATCTAGTAGAAGATGGTTATGAGTAAACATTAAGTTATAAGAAAAGGTTATGCAAATAATAATATCAGCGGAATCTGACCAACATCTCACTCTTTCTCCCGCAGGGTTATCCATCGGCAACTTGAAGGGAGACTACGCAGACTACTCTGACATCTACTATTACCAAGACCCCCGAATGGAGCCTCCCACCTTCTCTGCACGTTCCCAGAAATTCACGGTGGAGGTTGGCCAGTCTGTTATCATTCCCTGCGACGTGGAGAACCCAGGTTAGTTAACAAGTTACACTTATTGTTACTATGAACAAAAAGAAAATAAATATTATGATAGTTTCCGTCTATCAGGTAATTTCTTGCAATAAATAAATATCTTCAAAAATCAGATAAAATATTGTACCTCCGTGTAACTTAACACGCAAAGGGACTCGACCCCTGCAATCATAAATAAGCGGGTGCACAGCACACACACAGCTCAAGGAGTGTGGTGTAGGTTCGTATGAATTTTTGCAGTGTCTACTTTAGGTTCAGTATCATTAGTCATTCAATGAATATGATTTATGACGGTTTAACCTGGAATTGTATTCTCATCTGTGGCCGGAATCCTCAGGAGGGAGAAATAAACTGATCATTAAAAAGATACCAGCCAACGGGGGTAGCGAGAAGCTGCTTTCTGTGGGAAGCGACAAGGTGACGCCAGACGCCAGGATGACTGTGGACGGGTCGCGTCTCACCATTTCCCGCACGCTTCCCAGAGATGCCGGTATTTTCATCTGTCAGTTCGACCTAGAGCCGCCCCTCCAGCTGAAACACACCTTGGATATCCAGTACGCACCCTCCGTCAGAGCCTTGGTGCCCCCTGAGCAGCGAGTAGCCAAGGGCAACACTGTCATCCTAGAGTGTAAAGCACACGGCAACCCTGAACCCGTCATCAACTGGTCTAGGCAGGAAGGTCCTCTGTCCTCGGGACACCTTAGCCAACAGGTAAGTGCAGGGTTGAATTAAGGTCTTCGTAGGCCCAAGGCACTCTCGTATACGACGCCAACATAATTACTATTAATTATTGTTATTATATATTAATAACTATTATTAATTATTATTATTCTTAGAAGTAGTAGTATTTTTTTGTTTTACTATTATTGTTGTTGTTTGAGTATATATTATTATTGGCATATTCGCAAAAAAGTGCTAAATTCACATACATAGATCATAGAGCCCCAAATAGCCGAAAGATGTTAACTGCAAAATCATAAATTAGGGCAAATTATGAGGTGAGATTTAACAGTTTCCTTTAATTATTCTTGATCCAACTAAGAATGTTTATAGGTAGCAGAGATTTTGACTGACCTTTGACCAACACAACAGGTAGAGTACCCTAGTCTTGTGCTCTGATAGGTGCATTGTTATGATTACACTCACTGACGAACGGTAAACCTGCTGGTGTCATACAGCTCTGGGGGAATTTGAAGCAGTTAGGTTCGATCCAGGGAAGGGGAGGAGAGAGCCCAATTACCTGGATCAATAGCCCTTGATCGGCATCAAGGAACCTTCCTTGAGGGGGTTATGTACGTGGGGATATAGGTGTAACTCGTGCAATATTAGAGGTCAGGTTGATGTGTGCTCATTTCTCAATAACAGAATGGAAAGCAGTTTCAATCGCCTGTGGTATAATGATAAATATGTTGATAATCCTTTAGTTTCCGCAGCAAGCTGAGAATTTACTAGTTCTAAAATGTTTATAAAAATAATATAATAATATATCTTTATTTCTAAAAGTACACGTGCAAGGTATACAGGCCTAGCTGTCATCAATGACATACTACTATATAGAAAGCCGATTGTTAAGCAGAGCATATCGGGCAAACTAGGTCAATTTTGTCCCAAGATGCGATTCATACCAGTCGATTAACACCCAGGTACCCATTATTACTGATGGGTGAACATGGACAACTGGTGTAAGGAAACACGCCCAATGTTTCCACCCCCTTGCCGGGAATCGAGCCCTGACCCTCACCGTGTGAACGAGAGCTTTTACCACCAGGCCATGGTATAAAATATCGACATGATGGAAAAATGTTTTTGTAAGTTGATAATGCCCACTGTGTGGGCGAAACGTAGTTAATGAATTAGCACATTGTATTGTATTTGTGTCTGTTATTTAAAAAAAAATGAGAAGTCTTCTTTTATTTAGTGACTTTTTTTTTTACATAGGGACAATATGAAGGGAAAAATAAATGTGTATTATTTTTTATCATTTATCTTGATAATATTGCATTCCGCGTTATACATATACATGTAAGATTTAAAAAATGTATCTCTGGGCCTGACAGGGAGAGAGACTAGTCCTGGAAGCTGTGGACCGTGAAATGGACGGCACTTACCTCTGTACCGCTGTCAACAGTATTGGGGAACCAGCCTCAGCTGCCATGTCAGTCATTGTCGAGTACCCGCCGGAGATCACCACGGAAAATGTACGTTGCTGTTGGTGGACTCTGGGTTTTTATGCATTAGATAGTTTTTTTTTTATATTTTATTTAAAACAATACAATACATTAAATAGATAAAAGAACACAGTATCAGTTCTTACACAGAATTATAAATTTCATTGTCAAAATACACACAGACATGATTGCAGTTTTGTTAATATTCGTGTGATCTAAAAATCTTTAATAAATAAGGTTTTGATTTATCAAGTAAATAAGACTAAATGAGTCATGTGTGTGTATGTGTATATATGTGTGTATGTACGTGCGTATGTATGTGCGTGTGTATGTGGTGTATGTTTTATTGGTGCAGGCCATTGTGAGGACAGGTGAGGGAGACCATGTTGAGCTGGTGTGTGTGGTCCATGGTCGCCCGCCCCCAGATGTAGTCTGGACCCACAACGGCAGCCCACTGCCAGATACCATTATGGACACCCAGCTGCTCCTGCCACAGCAAGCCGCCCACACCCGCACCTCCTACCACGCCCACCTGAGCCAGAATAATTTTGCCCACCGCCACACACTCACCATCAATCCCGTGAAGGAGGATGATTTCGGTACCTACGTCTGCATAGCAGAGAACTCCCTTGGCCAGAAAACTGCTCTCATACAGATGACGAGTGAGTTATATTGTGCTGTGCTCACTTTCATTACAGTTGTGCTGTTTTTGCTTCTCTGACTAACCCATCCACGTTATTATGCTGTGTTTTCTTACGTCATATTCTGGACGCTCTCGTTATACAGATTTATTTTTTTTTCTTTTTTTTTTTAGTTAACAGTTTGAAATATATTTTATGTACCACCAGCATAAGCTCACTATTATTTATAGGATAGTAGACTAGTCGTTTTATAGAATGATACTGCTGTCCTGACTGACTGTGTTCATTCAGAGAAAAATCTCAGTTTAATCTTTTATCCCAATGGACGACTATAGGCTTTTCATTAAGGAAAATTTATGAAGTTATTCTTGCTTTCTTTCTAATTATTTAGATTATATACAGTTTTTTAAATAGGTACATTACGAATAGTTTTTATTCTCCTCTGCCTCACCCCATCAGGCCTGCCCAAGCCTCCCCAGGTGACGAGCAGCCCAAACGGAGGGGAGAGTACCAGGTACACACTAACCTGGGAGACTGAGAGTTACTACCCCATAACCGAGTTCATTATTAAGTACCGCAGAACCCACATGGATGCCTGGCAGGTGAGTAAACTCTTAGCACGGCTGGTACATACTAGAGATCCATAAAAGTAGTCCTTACTATAATACGCTTTGAAAGTATCTACCAAGAACTACTAACTGGTTACCTTCACTTGTATCTATATACATGGTTACTCTGTGCCCTGTGGTCAACTGTAAATCTGACTCTTATTATTCCTGTTTCTATTGAGTAAACCTATTAATACTTAATATTTCTAATCTGGTACCTTCATCTCAAGTACCTCAGGTCAGAAGACATATAAACATGGCATCATAGTAGGCTAACCTAGTAGTTATTTTTTTGTAGTTGCGATTATAACAGTGATAAAACATAAGTGAAAGTCATAATAACAGCATTCGTAATTTAAGTGAAAATAAATTAAGTCATTAAACTAGCACATTTGCAAGAACACATTATTATGAATAGTGTTTATACACCAACACCATAAAAACTAACTTTGCATGCTTTTGTTTCTTATTACTGTATGTATGTATATTTAATCGCTGTTAGTCTCAGATATTCGCAGTTGGAATTTATCATGTAAATGAATAAATGCATACTTATATATTAGTGATGTTTTTTTTTTAAATATTTTTATATGTATGTTATATTTGCTATATAGTCCTTGTGGCTTAGCGCTTCTTTTTGATTATAATAATAATAATGTATGTTATATAATGCATCACACAAGCCTATTGGACATCTAACAGGCTTGTGTGAGCGTGGTAGACAGGAATAAGTGGGGACAAGTAGTTTTATGATTTGACGCGCTGTTGGAATGTGATCAAGGAAACATTTATAAGGGATTTAAGGAAACCGGTTAGCCGGACTGGAGTTCTGGAAGTGGGCTGTACAGCACCTGCGCTCTAAAGGAGGGATATCGATGTTAGGGTTTTGAGGGTTATCTGAACTGTGATGTGGGCGTGCTTCTGGAAAGACGGTGATTGAATGAATGGCAGTGAAAATGTTTTCTTTGTCGAGTCACTTTACCTCGATGGGAGACGGCCAGTCTGTTAAAAAAAGTCAGATGTTGTGTAGGTAGGTAGAAGACATACTGAAAGCTGTTCCCAAGAAGTGGGCAGAAGCATTCCGGTACGAGTTGAGTCTAATAAACAATAAACATATGAGGAGATAATTGGCCAAGAATTTATGACGTGTTATGAGATCATACATTTCCTTAGCGTTAATTGGCTTCTGTCACTGACGTTTCCCGTAGGGGTCTCCTGTAAGTCTGTTTACAAGCAGTAGCTCTTAAATCATCTCTTGGCTAGCTGGTGTCCGTGGCGTGTGTGTGTGCGCGCGCGCGCGTCTCTCGACACCATGAGAAGTGCTGATGCTGTTGTAAGACTGGGACTAGATGGGTCTCCTTGTTTCACACCACGCAATGAGGCAGTCTCATCTCTAACATATGGTAGTTTGTAGTGGAGTCACCTCAATTCACATATAGCCATTCACACTCACACTAACAGTAATCTAATTTTCTTTTGTGGAGATTCAAATGGATGAACTCTTATATGACTCCTGTATATATGTACATAGCGACTACTGACACTTCTACTCCAGTTCTTATTAAGTTGTTTTTCTTTCATCCTAATGAAAATTTAAATTTAATTACCAAAGATGCCTAGTATTTAGTTGCATACATCATAGGGCTAATCTTTTTATTTTAATTATTATTAAACAATAATATTGCATTTATTCTTGTTCTCCCTAAGCGTGAAATGGCATGCCTGATAATTTTTTAAGTATATTTACATAAATATGCTAGATTTCTTCCTCCTGTAACCTTGGGAGTTATATTAATAATATTAATAATCAATTTCAGCCATCGACACCATGCCCAGCCCTTCTAGGGCAGGGTAGGTGCCTGAGCCAGAGCTTGCAGCTCACAAGACTGTCATCCCCATTAGCCCCCTTGGGGAGGGGATGGCAGACCAGAGAGGCCTAGCTTGTGGCTAGGCCTGGGGACAGTTGGTCCCAAAGATGAGGGGGTACTTGTACCTCCTCCTATGGAAGACAGGTCTCAGACACTCCCAAGACAGAGAGCCAAGGCCGGGCCACCACTTGGACAAGGCCCGGGCCGGGAGAATACATGCGAATCTTTAATAATAATAATAACAATTTTAGCTACTAATGCTAAATCACTTATTGTGGTGTAGGTGTATAGTGTACCTGTGTTCATTGTCACTGAGTTTTTTTTTTTTTTCATTGTATGATGGGTTTCTCCTATATGTGTAGATTAAACTTAACATGCTTGGCAGAGTAGTGCTATTACACACATTAACGGTTTAGTTTTAATGTTAACTGACATTATAATACATAATATAAGTAGTTTGCATGTATTCTCTTAAGAGACTTCGTGCTCTGTCGTGATCTCTCCCCTTTTTTCACCGCCAAACATTTCTCTCCTCACCATCAGCATCCCCGAACACTCGTGAACTTCTCCAGCATGAGTTTCTCTCCCTCCCTCCAGCAGAGGAACCACAACATGGTGATGGCAGACTCGTGGGAGAGCGTGTCCCGGGCGGTGGATACTGAGGGAGTGAGACATGGTACCCGTCATGCCCTGGCCTACACGCTAGACCCGCTGGAGGTCGCCACCGACTACGTGGCCGTCATCAGAGTCAGGAACAAATACGGCTGGTCATCAGAATCTGATAATTTCTCCTTCTCCACCAAGAAAAGTAAGCAAGCTATTCAGATTCACACATTTTTTTTAATATATAAGATTTCTGAAAACAACTAAGTACCGTCTGGTAGCTCATTTGCTTTGCAATTGCCTACCTGATAATTAGACCTCCAGTAATCCTTGTACTGAATAACCTACATGGGGGTATAGCAATTTACCTAAGCAATATAATATAATAACTGGGATTTCTGATAGCTCAGAAGACCATTACTTCATAGGGAAGCATCAGCTTATGTAATACACGAGGTCAGACAACATTTCCCGTGTGCTGCAAGAAATAAGGAACACTGTTATTATACAAGACCGGTCTAAGCATGAAAGTAACGAAGTTCATAAATGGATGTATTAGGCTAATAAATAAATCGAAGCAAATATATGATGTAAATTTTCAATCCACCGATAAGCCACCAGTTGTAATAAATGTTAAATTTAGATTCATAGCAATCTGTGTATAAATTTATAAATATCATGTTATGTATTTCTACATTTTACGTCCCACCAAATTACCTAGACAGTGCTCAGTTCAATACAATATTTAAAATAAAAAAAGAAAAAGAAAAAGGAATGAAGATTGTTAGTACACTTCTGGCACCGGAGATTAAATGAATGATGAACATTTTCTTTTTTTTAGGGGGTGTCTGACTACCTCAGTGGGAGATTTTCGGTGTGTTAAAAAATAAAACAAGTTTATTTTACTTAAACTTAGATACAAATTATGTAATATTTTCAACATCAAGAAACAGGAATTTATTATCAGAATTTATTACGCACTAGGTAGTAGGTTGGTAGACAGCAACCACCCAGGGAGGTACTACTGTCCTGCCAAGTGAGTGTACAACGAAAGCCTGTAATTGTTTTACATGATGGTAGGATTGCTGGTGTCCATTTTTTGTCTCATAAACATGCAAGGTTTCAGGTACGTCTTGCTACTTCTATTTACACTTAGGTCACACTACACATACATGTACAAGCATATATATATACACACACACCCCTCTGGGTTTTCTTTTATTTTCTTACTAGTTCTTGTTCTTGTTTATTTTCTCTTATCTCCATGGGGAAGTGGAACAGAATTCTTCCTCCGTAAGCCATGCGTGTTGTAAGAGGCGACTAAAATGCCAGGAGCAAGGGGCTAGTAACCCCTTCTGTATAAATTACTAAATTTAAAAAGAGAAACTTTTGTTTTTCTTTTTGGGCCACCCTGTCTTGGTGGGATACGGCCGGTTTGTTGAAAAAAAATAATAATCACAATTTCGGTTTATAACTGAGTGAAATTCCATGTAAAGAATGACAGAATTTCCAGATTCTACTTATATTAATAAAATGTCTTTTTGTTTGCTTCAATCTTTCAACTTTACGCCTTTGTTTCAGCCATGGCAGTGCAACAGTCGTCCAGCAGCACGAGACGTCATGTCAACGCTGCGCTCTTCATCTTCTTACTGCTCCCGCACCTGTTCACTGTCATATAGAAAAACTATCTCCTGTTGACCTCGCCACAAGACTTGTCAGAAATGCTGCACGTGGTCAGGCAAAACAAGCAGTTTCACATTTACAGATGTTCCTCATCTTAAATTTTGTAAACAAAATAAGTTGAACAGCAAGTAAAATGTGACGGTAGAATTCCATGAAAAGATTCTATTGCTTGTTTAAGAGGACGTGTAAACACTACAATTCGCCAAAGATTTAGTGACTGTGTGTGGTGCTTTATGTGTAACTTCCATATCTCTCACATTCCTGGCAATGCATCTGTATTCCACAGACGCTAACACTGCTGAACAAAAATATTTAGCTCGATGTAGACATTGCTTGTGACAGAAAAAGTTTGTGTCAAGTGAGTTCTGGTATAGCTCTTGAGTCCAGTACTGAACTTATGTGCAACGATGTACATTACATGGTAATTATTTTATAAAATAGGCCACAGTAAAATGCAATTCTGCCCATTAATTTATGTTTAAGTGACGGCAAATAAATGAAAAAACAATTGATAAACAGCAGTTTTCGCCCAGAAGATAGCTCCCCAGACATCTCTTAAATGACCGGACAGCACTGGCGTTAGAAAAGGCACAAGTTGAGAGTTTGTTTGATAAAATGGCTGTGAAACGAAAAAAAAAGTGACTGTTTGGCATTCTATTCTATCATTCGTAAGACACGTGTGAGAGCAGACTGTGGTGCGAGTATTACGTCACCATACATTTAGAAGGTCATAAACTCACGTTTCTAAAAGTAAGAGTCATGGAAGTAGTGACAGAGAAGTGAGCAAAGATTCATCTATTTACAAACAACCCACACTTAGCTTTATGGCAGAAGGCTAATAAATCATTATTAGATATGAGGTTAGTTGCATTAACCAGACGATTAGTTTTCTTCTCTGCTGTACCAAACATTCTGGTAGAAAGAGAGAGAGGGAGAGAACGTAACAAAATTTTAATCAATGGAGATTTTATAATTAACAGAGGTTTATCTCTTTAGATGTAGTCAGTAACTGCTGTGACCTTTTAAACATTAAGTTTACTTTCTGTAGCTGAAGTATAAAACTGTGATTGTCCGCCTCTTGGACAACGTAGAGGCCATGCTGTGCTGACTCCTCTGGGAGTCTATGCTGATATATACCAATGATATTGACATGTGAGTGAGCACACTCGAGAATGTGTGTGGACAGCTGTCACTAGAAACAATTACCAGTGATTTACATATTTGAAAGCTGATAAAAATTACTTAGTGCAAGTTAGCAACTTTCGTCAACTTGGATTTGTTGATCACGGACATCATCTGTGTACTGAAAGATCTTGTGTTGTGATGGTGATCATAAAATATAACATTGCTGTATATTCTGCCGCATCATGTAACGTGCTATAGGCTAATGTTAAATTTTATTTACGTACACAGCATTTGCAAACTCTCTTAACGACAGCATTCAGGCACCTGAACGATAAACATTCCAAATACCGCAACCTACATATGCAAAGTTATTCCTAGAATATGCGGCGCCATCATGAAACCCATATATATTTATAAGCAAGCACATTCATAAGAAACTGAAGGATGGTCCACGGAGTATATACCACGAGACTGGTTGCGGAGCTGGGAAGAATGACCTGCAAGCCTGCTGAATGTTCCCCCTCTAGGGCAGATTATTTCCTAACTTTTACTGTCTTTGACTCACTCAAGGGAATAAGACTCCCTGAAAAGACTTTAGGCCCACTTTAATATTTTCTGTGTGGGTTTTCTGGATACATGGTAATCACAAACACAGCCACACAGACACAAAGATACATATGTAAACTTTTTTTCAAGAAACGGACGGTGTTTGATCTCGAGGTCTCACGTGTGCTAGTCTGGGTGATGTCTATAGGAGTATTAGCTTTTGCGTAACCTACATTATTTTTATTAGTGAGTTTTTCACCACCAACAACAGATACAGCTGTTGTCCCTCCAAGTCATGTCAGTGCTGACGGGGACATAATAGGAGCAATATGACTCAAAGGACCTCCAGAGATAACCATGGATAAGGATGCAACTCTTATTGTAGCCTTCACAGTCCAATGATAAAGTAGAGAGTGAGCATGTGGTAAACCTCGGATTCGAATCTCGTCCTGTGCTTAAAAGAACTGTCTTTATTTGTACACACACAAACACACACACACACACACACACACACACACACACACACACACACACACACACACACACACACACACACACACACACACACACACACACACACACACACACGCACACACACACACACAGCGACCAGTGAAGAGGCGGGGCCAGGAGCTTGGACTTGACCCCTGCAACCTCAACTAGGTGAGTACAACTAGGTGAGTACACACACACACGCGCACACACACACACACACACACACACACACACACACACACACACACACACACACACACACACACACACACACACACACACACACACACACACATAAATATATACTTACACGTACATGCGAGGTTATAAAATAATCGTCGTCAAGGAATAGATAAAAACTTGTGCATGAGAGTTACTTAACTTGCCACTATAAAATAAACAATAAGATAAGCGATTGTGATGTTATCTAGTAATAAAATTTATATGTATTTTGTGATGAATATGCCATTTCCCTTATTATATATTAACTTTTGTACAAATATGACATGTCATACATTCATTATAAATATATATATATATATATATATATATATATATATATATATATATATATATATATATATATATATATATATATATATATAATTTATATTTATATATATATTTATAATGAATGTATGACATTTCATATATATATATATATATATATATATATATATATATATATATATATATATATATATATATATATATATATATTATTTTATTTATTTATTAACATCGGCCGTTTCCCACCAAGGCAGGGTGGCCCGAAAAAGAAAAACTTTCATCATTCACTCCATCACTGTCTTGCCAGAGGCGTGTTCACACTACAGTTATAAAACTGCAACAGCTCTCTGAATAATAGTTTTGGTAATCCCGCACCTTCTAAATTACAAACTACGGATTCACTGCATTATATTCACACAACACATTACCCTCAGACATGACATCTCCACTGCCTCCAGCCTTCTCCTTGTTGCAACATTCACCACCCATGCTTTACACATATAATAGCGTTGGTGTAACTATACTCTCATACATTTCCCTCTTTGCTTCCATGGAAAATGTTTTTTTATCTCCACAGATTCCTCAATGCACCACTCACCTTTTTCCCCTCGTATGTTCTATAATTTATTTCATTTTTCATAGACCCATCTGCTGACACGTCCACTCCCAAATATCTGAATACATTCACCTCCTCCATACTCTCTCCCCCCAATCTGATATCCAATCTTTCGTTATCTAAATTTTTTGTTATCTTCATCACCTTACTCTTTCCTATATTCACTTTTAATTTCCTTCTTTTCCATACCCTACCAAACTCATCCACCAACCTCTGCAACTTCTCATCAAAATCTCCAAAAAGCACAGTGTCATCAGCAAAGAGCAACTGTTACAACTCCCACTTTGGGTTAGATTCTTTATCTTTTAACCCCATACCTCTTGCCAATATTCACTTCTCTTGCAACTCCATTTATAAATGTATTGAGCATTCACTTATCTTACAACCCCATCTATAAATATATTGAACAACCATGGCGGCATCACACATCCCAGCCTAAGGCCTACTTTTACTGGGAAATAATCTCTCTCCCTCCCTGAGCCTCACTATACTCGTAAACACTCTTCACTGCTTTCAGTGACCTACCTCCTATTCCATACATTTGAAACATCTGCCACATTGCCTCCCTATCTACCCTGACATACGCTTTTTCCTAATCCATAAATGCCACGAAAACCTCTTTACCCATATCTAAATACTGTTCACCTATAGGTTTCACTTCAAATTTCACTCCAAACCCTTGGTCTACACCCCCCTACCCTTCCTAAAGCCTCCTTGTTCATCTGCTATCCTGTTCTCTGTCTTACTCTTAATTCTTTTAATAATAACTGTACCATATACTTTACCAGGTACACTCAACAGACGTATTTCACTATACTTTTTACACTCTCCCTTGTCCCTTTTGCCTTTATACAAAAGAACTATGCATGCTCTCTGTCAGTCCCTAGATACGTTATCCTCTTCCACACATTTATTAAATAAAAGCACTAACCCCTCCAAAACTACATCCCCACCTGCTTCTAACATTAATATGTATACAGGCATCAGATAGGGTACGGTGGGTTAAAAAATTAGCAAACCTCTGATATTGTTAAAGTAACACAGATTTGATATACCCCAGTAATTTAGAAGGTGAAGTTTACAGAGTCACAGACCAGAAGAATGACTGACCATGGTGAAATACTCACATATGGAAGCTCTGAAAAAACATATCGTGCTAGGAGAGGTCTGTAAATATTGGTAAGAGAGCTTACTAAATTATTGCCAGGAGAGCTTTATAATTATTGCTAATAGAGCTTTGTAATTATTGCTAGGAGAACTTTCTAATTGCAAGGAAAGCTTTCTAATTATTGCTAGGAAAGCTTTCTAATTATTGCTAGAAGAGCTTTCTAATTATTGTTAATAGAGCTTTCTAATTATTTGCTAGGAGAGTTTTCTAATTATAGTTTTCTATTTCTAGGAGAGCTTTCTAATTACTGCTAGGAGAGCTTTCTAATTACTGCTAGGAGAGCTTTCTAATTATTGCTAGGAGAGCTCTCTAATGCTAGGAGAGCATTCTAATTATTGCTAGATCCCAGCAGATGCGGATACCATGACAGATCTGCTTTAAACATATTATCTTGCGCAGTGGTAAGTGCTGTCAGTGAAAGCACTACATAATGTATAACTGTTGATGTATTTCAGTATATAAATAAAAGATGTGTGTATTTCTATCCTGAAGGTACTGGAAAGGGATTGCGAGCCAAATTGACTAGTACTGGAAAGCTTTCTTTGGGAATTTCAGGGAATTTCTTTGGGAGGGGGGGGGAAAGGATTTAAAATTGGGTCTAATAAGCGAAATTAAACGTAGAGGGAGCCAGGGTGAGACTGGCAGTAGAATGGGAAGAGGCGAAAACGAAGGAAGGGGAGAGTCAAGCAAGGGTAAAGAAGACATGAGGAAGGGAAATTCAGGGAAGCTTATACAAAAGACCAACAGGTAAATGTCGATGAGATAGAGTAAGAATGGAGAGGGTGGTCAAAATAACAAGAGGCTAGTTAGGGATAGAGAGTACCAGAGGAAGAAGAGGGGGAGACAAGAATAGAAAACACCATAGTAAGGGGGGGGGGGAAGCAGGGATAGGAAGGGTTCGAAGGAAGAAATTGTTAATGTTGATAGAGAGAGGTAAAGAAAGAGGGGAGACAGGCAGGGAAAGCGAGGGCTAAAATAAAATGGTGTCGGGTGAGATAAAGAAAGCCAAAGAAAGAGAGGGACAAAGAGGGCCGAAGAGAGAGGGAAGCTGATCATGGATAGAGGTGTTCGAAGGAAGAGGGGACCACTCAGTGATAAAAATGGACTAAGGAAGGGGGAGGCATCAGGAACGTATTGGAAAGTTTTCGAATTATAAAAACAAAAATTATTAAGAAAGAACAAGTTGAGAACAGTAAGAAAATGAATCATGACACTTATGTACAAGACACTTATGTCATAAGTGTCTTGGAAAGACACTTCTGTACATATGTGTCTTTTTTTCACATCTTGTCGGTATCGCTATTCCATTTTGCAAGATATACAGTGCTTAGTAATACTGCCAACATTAACGATAACTTCTGCAAGTTCACTGACTGACAGATCACCGAGCGACAGGATCACTGACGGATTATTGACTGACGGATTATTGACTGACGGATTATTGACTGACGGATTATTGATTGACAGATTAATGATTGAAGATTAATGATTGACAGATTAATGATTGACATTATTGAATGACAGATTATTGACTGACAGATTAAAATGATTGACAGATTAATGACTGACAGATTAATAACTGACAGATTAATGACTGACAGATTAATGACTGACAGATTATTGACTAACAGATCAGTGACTGACAGATCAATGCCCGCCAGATGACTGTCACATCATTGGTTGACAGATTACTTTCAAATCAATTGCAAGTTATTGATAACAATACATGTTTACCGAAGCAAAATAACTTACACAACGGACTTTTTTTTTATTTTTTTTTTTTACATCATAACTCTATCCGGAACACTTTTTATTCCGGTGCTTGAAAGAAAGCTTAACAAAACAAAAATGTAATTATTACGTGTAATCACTCATCATCTACGTCGATTTCAACATAGAGCCGCTGACATTTTAGCTTAGAAAGAAAAAAATCCAATATTCCATTTTTCTGATGCTCTTCAGTAGTGAGCAACGAGGAATTAACCCCTCCAGAATATCGATAAAAATCATGTAATATGTTGGGATTACATTGGAAGCGTTCCCAGATTAGTTGCAGCAAAACGTCCCTAGATAATTTTCTGGTAACTTCAAATCACAGTGGGACTTATCCAGTGCCTGACGAAGTCCCCCTTTGGGTGACGGAGTCTGTTCCCAGAGAACACTTCCCACAGTGGACACTACACGAACTGCACCTTGTAGGCTTGTGCTACTCTCTAAGAAGATAAGCTTATACATTGAGAATGTAACGAGAATGGTAAACTGATTCTCGCTTCAATGGCAAAACATAATTCATTGGTAAATTTAACTGGAAGAAACAAAAACTGCAATCCTTGTCAGAGACTTATTTCAAAAGACTAGGAGATAGTAGATGAGTTGAAGTCACTTGTTGCTATGATCATGGAGGGCAGTACATGAGCTGAGGTCACTTGTTGCTATGATCACCTTGGAGGACTGTAGATGAGCTGAGGTCACTTGTTGCTATGATCACCTTGGAGGACTGTAGATGAGCTGAGGTCACTTGTTGCTAAGATCACCTTGGAGGACAGTAGATGAGCTGAGGTCACTTGTTGCTATGATCACCTTGGAGGACAAAAGATGAGCTGAGGTCACTTGTTGCTATGATCACCTTGGAGGACAGTAGATGAGCTGAGTTCACTTGTTGCTATGATCACCTTGGAGGACAGTAGATGAGCTGAGGTCACTTGTTGCTATGATCACCTTGGAGGACAGTAGATGAGCTGAGGTCACTTGTTGCTATGATCAACTTGGAGGACTGTAGATGAGCTGAGGTCACTTGTTGCTATGATCACCTTGGAGGACTGTAGATGAGCTGAGGTCACTTGTTGCTATGATCACCTTGGAGGACAGTAGATGAGCTGAGGTCACTTGTTGCTATGATCACCTTGGAGGACAATAGATGAGCTGAGGTCACTTGTTGCTATGATCACCTTGGAGGACAGTAGATGAGCTGAGGTCACTTGTTGCTATGATCACCTTGGAGGACAGTAGATGAGCTGAGGTCACTTGTTGCTATGATCACCTTGGAGGGCAGTAGATGAGCTGAGGTCACTTGTTGCTATGATCACCTTGGAGGGCAGTAGATGAGCTGAGGTCACTTGTTGCTATGATCACCTTGGAGGGCAGTAGATGGGCTGAGGTC